GCTGCTCCGAGCCGCGACCTTCAGCTCCTCCTAGTGACTGGAGGGAGCAGATCCGCAGGGCTCGGGCCCCAGCACTGGGATAGGCGCCCCAGCGCTGGGGATGGGGCCCCCGACGTGCTCTCTTGTGATTTTAGGGGTGAGAAAGGGATGAAACCAGCCCTGCACTCAAATGGCCTCTCCCTCCCCAAGCTCCACTGAGCTTCCCTCTGGTTTGAAAAATGCGTTAATGATGAGCAGAGTTGCCTCAGCTCCATCCAAAAAACCAGCATGCTTCTGGTCATTACAGCCTGGGTGAGGAATGGGTGATTCAGGGAGGTGGTGGAGTCACCATCCCTGGAGGTGCTCAAAACCCACATACACGTGGTACTGCAGGACATGGTTTAGTGGTCATGGGAGTGCTGGGAGGCTGGCACTGCAGAGATGGGTGAGAACCAGGAGCACTGAGCAACTTGCTGCCCAGAAGACAGGACACTTTTGACAGCTTCCTTCCTGCTGCAGCAAGCTAACCCAGCACGTCTTCTGTTTTGCTGCTCGAGAAGCAAATGCCAAGGGAATTTCTAGAATGCAAAGTTAAGGCCTTTCCCCCTCCCTTCTCTTTTTCTGGGTCCCATCTGCACTGAACCTGAATAAACCCTCCTCCCCCCTCAAGAGCATTTCTAGAGGAAAAGTCAGGCTGCTTTGGCTCAGCACTGACCACACAGATAAACACACAGGGCCATCCAGCCCGTTCCTGGCAGCGCTCGCCCCGGAGGAATTCTCTCCCATCTGAAGCTGAGGCTTCTACACGAGCTGGGGTGCCACACCACAGGGCAGGGGGAAGGATCTCACCCAGGGTTCAGGCTGGAACTCCACAGGGAACAACCAGCCCTGTACCCAGCAGCTCTCCCGAGCTGCCTGCCCGCAGAAGGGCCCTTGCCCAGTGGCCACACTCGTGGGCAACGGGCCAGGGCAAGGGATGAATCTCAAGAATTTTGAGAGACAGCAGATTAAACAAAAGTTGTGCTTCTCCCTTTCTGCTCTTGGGCCAGGAGGTCAGGAGCGGGCTGGAGCAGTGGAGAAAGGCCACAGCCAGAGATGAAAGGTGTTAGATAAAAGAAGGAATCCCCCGAGGAGGAACTTTTGTGCTGGGCAGAAGCGGAGGGGAAGGAGCGCTGGGGACGTCTCCAGTTTTAACTGGGAGGGCTGGGAGCCGGGGAGGGGGGCTGGGAGCCAAGGGCAGCCTGCAGCCTGCAAAGGAATGTGCCAGCATTCCTCAGCTCTTCCGGGGGTCTCTCCCCTCTCCCTGCTTCCCCCCACGCCCAGGAGGATGTTGTGCAATTGGGCAGCCAGCCAGGGGCTGTGTGCGTGGGCAAGGGTCTGAACACGGATGGAAGGAGAATTCCTGGCAGCTAGTGGAGGAGTTGTGGGGGTGGCACGGATGCTGAAAACCCCTGAAACAAAACTTTCACAGCCTGTAGAGATCTGATCCCTAACAGAATGGCTTCATCACCTTTGGCTTTCCTGACCTCTCCCAGGGGCTACCTTTGGTTCCTCTTTGATCTCGACTTGGTGTCTTATGCTCACAGGTCCTTAAGTGGCAACTTCCCAGAAGACAAAGCAAAGCCAAGGGCTTGTTCAGCACGTGAATGAAACTTCTGCTGTGAAAAGATGCCCCAAACTATGAGCATCAAAGCAAAAATTTCTCCTTTACCCATTTGCAGCTACTCACAGCCACTGCCTAGGGATGGGGCTTTAGCCACAGGGATAATGGTCAAGCCCTTTGAGAGCAGAGGATGCAGTGACAATCCTCAGGCCCTCCTGCAGAACAAAAACCTCCTGAGGTTTGTACATAAGGCTCCAGGATGAATTCCCTTCTTCACATGCACATGCTTTCTTCACCATTTTCCAGTCATCTGAGATCATCCTCTTGCAATCCAAGATAATTCAATCAACTGGAAGACTTGAATAAAACAAGAGTTAAACTAATCTCTATTATTTTCTCTTTTGGGTGGTTGCTACCAGAGCCTTGCCTGCATCTATTAGAAGTTACACATTTCCTGACCACCACTGAAACTTCAACTTCTCAGCAGCACCCTTGAGCTCCACACCCTTTGGACCTTCAGCATGCAGCCCTGCTCAGGAGCCAGCAGGCACCTCCCCTGGCCTGGGGTGTATCTGCCAGCACAGCACCCCTGAGGAGAGTGCTGCAGGCTCTCAAGCTCAGCGTGGGGAAGCTGCACGTCACATCTGTGGGAGCCAGCTGGGTGGACACGCCACCACAGCACAGGCAGAAAGGTCACCCTGGGAAAGTGTGGGAGGGAAAAAGCTGTTCCCACTTCCCTCTCCTGGCTCGGCGGGGTGTGGGAAGAGCACAGAGCGTCTCCTCCAGGCTCAACAAGAGCACAGCTTCATCAGGAGCTGCCTCACACTTTGCTGGCCTCCACCCTGGGAGCAGGGCTTCCTCTGCAGAGGGGAAGCAGCTCCACCTGAGATGTGCACGTGACAATTAAGCACTTTCTTCCCTGTCAAACACAGCAGCAGGATGCCCTGACTCCCCAGGCTGGGTTGTTGTCTACATGGAAAGACACCCGAGGCAAGCACAGTTGTCGGAGTTTTTGTGTTTCTTAAACTACCTGATCACTGAGATGGGGGAAAAAACCAAAAAGTTCATGTGAACCAAAAGCATGGCCTTCTCCAGTCACTCCATTCCTTCCTGGGAGCAAGGCAGTAGAGGGAAACACCCAACAGGCACATCAGACATCAGTGCAGGCACCGAGGCCCACGCTCCTCAAAAACAGGACACGTGCTGCTGCTGCTGCTTTTGTGTTCTCCAGCCTGGCTTCTACCTGTCCAGACAAAACCTACTGTCCTTCCTTGTGCTGCAGCTCGAGGACAGGACAGATCACCCAGCAAGGAATCTTGGAACAAGAAAGGGAAAGGGAGCACGGGCTGGCTGCACAAAGAGCTACGTTCAAGAGCAGAGCAGGCTGGGGCTTGTTAGTTCATGTTCCAGCCCTGTGTGTGCTGCAGGCTCCTCGAGGCCAGGCAGGAGCTTTGGCTGGCAGATGCCTGCAGGGCTTAGTGGACATTTTTCGGCAGAGTTAGGGGTGGGGATGCTGAGCACGAGCAGCAGAGCTGGGGGAAAGCCAAGCAATGAAATCCACCTACTAATGAGTGACCTGAAGGCTCAGGAGCCTGTGGGGACCTGGCTTCCCCTCCCCACCATCCCTGGTGTCATGCAGGAACACCTCTTCCTGGGCAGCAAAAGGAAGTCCCCACTCTTCTGGCTCCTACCTCGTACTCGATAGCAAGGTCTGTGTGATCATCAATGTCCACTTTGGCCATCAGCACCTTCCCCTCCTGCTTGGCCACCACCTTCTCTAGCCTGGGGCCGAGGATCTTGCAGGGGCCACACCACCTGATGGAGAAAGAGGAGAAGGACATTAGAGGAGGCATGTGCAGCAGCCAGGGAAGGCTTGCTGGTGTGCCAGGGCCTTCACCCCCATCACCACTCCACTTGAGAGCCAGCCTGGAAACACCATTCCCAATTCATGGCTAGAGAAAAACATTTCTTTCACAAAGAAGGTGTCAAAGGGTTTCTTCTGCGTGCATGTGCGTGGCTGTGGTGGGGGCTGAGTGGGAGGAGATGTCACCATTCAGCTTCTGTGCTGGTTCTGATGTCACTTCACAGCACAGCCTGCTCTGCTGGCCTCGGTGGCCCTCCTGCCCCCTCTTCTCAACCATTCATAGAATAATAGAACATTTTGGGTTGGAAGGGACCTTTAAAATCCATCCCTGCTTTATGTCCTGGCTGGGACGTGCGCAGAGCTGTGACCCTGCTGAGCACAGAGGTGCCCTGGAGTGTCACTGCTGGGTGCAGAGCCTGCAGCCCACACTCCAGTCGCCTTGTGCTGACCCTCAGATCACAGACTCACCCTCTGAACTCACTGCAGTGTCTACAGAAATCCCCTTCCAGCAGCAAAATTCCCACAGGCATCACATCTGTTCAAAGAGACACCACCTGCTGCAAAGCCAGCAGCCTTGGCAGGGCCCTGTGTGCAGAAACCCCTCCCTGCATCCCCCAGCTGCACCAGTGCAGGCAGCAAGAACTCAGCCCAAGGAAACCAGGAGTTAAAGCTCTCAGTGCCCTTTTCTTTTAGAATTGAAGCTCCAGTAAACTTTGTTCTTCCTCAGTCTCCCTGTATCAGGTTTCAGGCTGACAATTATTTGCCCTCTCTTCCCTTGACCATCCCAATTAGTCTTTGTTTTGGTGCGGCAGTTTGGTCTACTTGGAGCAAAAGGTTTTGGGCTGTTTCAGGCTGTACCCAGAATGAGCCACAACAGGCTTACAAGATAACACTGTGGGACTATGAAAATATGGGAGAAAAAAAGCTAATCAGTATAATTAATCCAGCAGATAACATCTAAAAATATTTTTCCTGGCAAGATGACAACACTTTTATCACTGACAAATGCTGCTAGTGGTATGGTGTGGCTGTTAACATAAATGACTTCTTTTAAGATGGTGTTTTAACCCGTGGAGCTAAGAAGTGGAGACAGCAGAGCTCTTCCTCAAGGTGTCTTCTGTGGGGTGATGCAACACCAGGGTGACACCCCAGCACTTGGGAGGTGCAGCTGCACTGCCCTGAGGAACAGCTTCCTGGCACTGGTGTTTGACACTCCTGCAGGGCACAGCTGCACCTACAGAGGTGCAGTCTGACACACGAGCCATCCATGATGGTGCTGCAGGGGGAGAAGCACCTTTTAACACTGGCAGGACAACTGGCAGCTTCCCAACTTGGGAAGCCCTCAGACTTACTCATACTCCCCCACACCTCCTCCTGCCGTGCATCCAGAGTGCCAAGGGGTCAGGAAAGCAGCAGGGACACACCTGCACGTGCCCTGTAGAGAAGGGTGCAAGAGCTGTGGTGTGTGTGGGAACTTACTGTGCATAGAAGTCCACCACCACGGGTTTGGGGTTGTTCACCACCCGGTCCTGGAAGTCGCTGCCATCCTGGACGTTGAAAGTGCTCCTGCATCTCACCGAGGTGCCAAAGGCCCTGCCCTGGGGTGCCGGGGGGGCCCGCGGGGCCAGGGGGCCCTGCACGGGCAGCGTCCGGGGGGCAAGGGAGAGC